GCCCCCCCCCCCGGCCTTTCCCCCCCCCCCCCCCCCCCCCCCGGCCCTTTTCCCCCCTTCCCCCCCCCCCCCCCCCCCCCCGCGGCCTTCTCCACGTGAGGTACATAGTTGTATTTCATGCACCATTTCTATACTACGCGATCACAGCTGTGTGAACCAAGAATGGAGAAAGTTCGGCTAAATTCAATGAATTAATGCCAAAGCTTTAAATTTTTTTCTCAAGAAGATGTTTCTTTTAATTAAAAAAATGCAACATTTCACAAGAGCCCTACAGAATGTGCAGTACGTTATGGGCACAGTGGGCACAGTGACTACATCATCAAAATCACAGAATATGTCCTTAATACTGAATTGCGAAATGTCTGTTTTGTAAGAAAGAGAACATAAATTGAATGGAAACTGAGACTGTTAGCATAATTAAAACCAGGGGTGAGAAAGGACAGCGGTAAACCACTCTCTGTGCAGGTGTTCCGGCCACTTCTCTTGCTAATACTTGCTCTGTCACGCTCTCCTAACATTATGTGATATAGCAAGTCTTCAGTTTGCTCGAGTCCGTCACAACACTTGTTTTCGATAATGATTTTAACCGGAAATTTTGGTGTTATAAATCTAGATGTGGCTTGCGCTTAGGAAAGAAAACAAGAAAATTGAATAGTTTCGCGTGTAGGCCTACGATATAAAGTGATAAAAGGTGTGCTAACATAAATAGGATATAAATTTGCAAATGGATAGGCCTACGCAAAATCAATGTAGATCTAATTTAACGTTGTTATTTTCCGCAATGGACATCAAGCAATACAGGTAGGCCTACCGCGAAAACTAAAAATCAAAGGATCAAAGTCGAAATAACTTAAACGTAGCGTTGCACTAGGATGCGCTTGATGTGCCCGATTCTCCTCCGATGTAGTGTGTTAGTTGTGACAGATATGTTGATTGTGTTTTCACTGCGGGGTCTCTTTTCTCCAACAGGCTTCAGTCATCAGTATTTTCGGAAGTCAAATCTGGTCGTCGGGGAGACATTCATTTGTATGGGTTTATTGGACACCTGGCTGGATCGGACACACAGTATATATGAGTGAAAAATGGTAAATCACATGCCTAGAAAACTTTGTCTTGTTTTCTTAGAAAGTGTTTTCATAGTAGCAAAACTTCCAGGGATACCTATCTGTTGCTGATTGTCAAACATGGTCATATAATATGGTCTAGTTAAGAAAATTTGAATGAACTTTTGAAAATTTTGTAAGAATTGCTGTTTATCTCCCCATAAGGATGTTCAGTACTGAAGAAAAAGTAATTTATTTTAAAAAAGCAAAAGTAAAAAGCTGAAAATATAGATAAAATGCCAGGAGTGTAGCACTTTAGCTGCAATTGATTTAAATTTTTTTAAAATCACATTGTTTGAAAATTGTCCATCATATTTGTTCAACCTATCGCTTGTAAAAGTCCAATCTTACATCCCCCCCCCCCCAAAAAAAAAAAAAAAAATCCTGGGTTAAAGAGTAATTTTCTCCTACTCACTAACTACTGCTTAATCCATCCCTACACTTAAATTTGATGTTTTATTCCATTTTAGGGAAAATGACAAGGCCAGTGAAATGGAACAACATCTTCTGTCACACACATTGCCTAGTTTTCATACAAGAAAATGGCAAGTTGTTCAGTATTGCAGCCCTGTGCCATGTATAATGATGGACCATGCAAGCTGGCAATGGCTTCTCAAGGAGGCTGAGAAAATAATACTGACACTATAGGTATGCTTCAAATAAACTTTTGATCTATTTTTTATGAAATGTAACTGTTAC